TATATATATATATATATATATATATATGTAGGAAAAAAACCTTTAAGCTGTTGTGCATCTTTATGAATGAATCTGACTCAAATGATTCATTCAGTTCAAAATGAAACAGCTGTTGCTCTGAGATGCACAAAAGTTCTCCATCAAAAAATTACGGAAAATATGATAAAAAAAGAAATTGTACTTGTTTGTGAATCTTGTATAAGCCACATCAAAAACATATTTTTGACAGTGCTGATATTTACGAAAATGGCACTTTTGCGTCTGTAATACCGACTGTGTCATTGCTATAAACATGACAATAAAACTGCTAGCAGGTGATGCAAATCTTGCAGGATGTGTTCAAAATGACTGATTTATTTAGAAATTTACCAACCGAGTTTCATCATGAACGAATCACCGACTCAAATGATTACTTCAGAATCAGATTCGTTCAGGACTGGTTAAGCTCTGAGTTGCACAAACGTTCTGCTCCAACTTTCAACTATTTTAATCAGCGAAATAAAAATATACAGAAAATACGCTGAAAAAAATGTAACCATCACTGACTCAAATGATTCATTCAGAATCAGATTCATTCAAGATGAAACAGGTGAAGCTATGGGATGCACAATTTTAGTTAGTGAAACAAAAAAACACCCAGAAAATACAAAGAGAAAACGTAACTACTCAATTCTGGTTGTGAAACTTGTATAAAATCAAAATCACATCTGTGACAGTGCAGATATTTAGGAAACGACACTTGTTTGTCTGATATTGATTTAGCCATGCATTTTAAAATTCTAAACATAGATTCCTATCAGGGTACACACACCGGCGCCGCGAGTCAGTGGCAATCCACAGCACCCAGCTACGACTCATGACACTGTTCATATTTCTGCCGCACCACAGAGTGCCATCGGAACAGTTTCATTTTTAATAACATGTGTATGTGCACGTCTGGTGTCCGATACTTCCAACTGTCAGCTGCGCACCATGTCACGACACTGAGCCGTGCATCCGGTGTGTGACGCCTAGTTTTACTGGCATAAACATGACATTAAAACCGCAAGTAGGCGTCTCAAATCTTGCATGATGTGATCAAAACAGCTGATTCCTTTAGAAATAACCAACCGAGAGTCTTCATGAATGAATCACTGACTCAAATGATTCATTCAGAATCAGATTCATTCAAGATGAAACAGGTGAAGCCATGGGATGCCCTATTTTAATTAGTGAAACGAAAAAAAAAACTAGAATACGAAGAAAAACGTAACTACTAAATTCTGAACTTGTTTTTAAACTAGGTGGCGCCAATCATGCATGATGTGTTCAACACAACTGATTTGACAACACAACTGAAGCTGTATCTGAAATCGCACACTTTCATACTATATAGTATGTGAGCCGCGTAGTATGTCCGAATTCATAGAATTCGAAAAACAGTATGTAAGAAGCACCTGGATGAGTTACTACTTTCGGCGAATTTCTGAACTGCGCATTAGATGGATGCTACGCTGAATTCATAAATAGGAATGAAGCGAGGCAACTGACGCGGGTAGGTCACGCGATAATGGCAAAATGGAGAATGTAGTATGTCCGAGTTCCATCCATACTACTGACATTCATACTGTATAGAACGTACTTTTCTAATGGTTGAGTAGTACGTATAAATTCAAATGCAGCACCTACTGAGTAGTAGGCGATTTGGGACGCAGTCTGCAAGTCTTCATGAATGAATCACTGAATCGATTGATTCATTCAGATTCATTCAAACACAAATCCAAACAGGGACATTAGTATCTCTCATAACTTGAATTATCTATTCTTTTGCACTGTTATGACAGTGGCTTTGATGTTTTTTTGGTAAAGTGATTTTTAACAATATTTTACCCATTTAAATATTATTGTTATTTAAATAAAAAAAAAGTAAAGTAATTTTTTTTTATATTTTACCAATTTAAATAACAATAACACCAATATTTTAGTCAAATATTGCTCCTCATGCACAGAATTATTAATAAGCCTAACATGGATTATTACAAATATTTATTGGGTTTTACTTTGATGCACATTTGCAAAGGTGAAAAAAAACCATTGAGTGTTACCTGCAGTGACCTGAATCCTCCCTTCAGCAGCACCAAACGCACGCACACACGCACACACACACACACACACACACACACACACACACACACACACAGCAGAAGAGCAAGAGAGATGAAGAGTGTGTGTTACCCACCGCACAGACAGTTAGAGGAACACAGATGCATGCAAACAAACAAGCATTTCTAGCAGAAACATACTCTATATTCTAGGAAGGACACCTAGTGGTTGAAATAGATAATGCAGTATAAATTCAAAACTTGTTTGAGTCTGTGTGTGTACTTGTGATTGTGTGTGTGTGTGTGTGTGTGTGTGTAAGATAGTGTGTGTGTGTTAGTACCTGTTGTGGTAAAGCTCTAGGACCTGAGGCAAACTAGAAAGAGAAAGCCACACAAAGGTCAAAGGTCAAGAAGCAACAGCGCAGCCACAAAAGCAAAGAAGAGATCTTGATTTCCCAGAATGCCATTCAGTCGCACACATCACACACACATACACACCAGCAGCTCAGGAGGATGCAGATCGACCTCTGACATCCAGCGCACACGCACACATTCACGTTCTCCTAAGATTTGCTCAGTGATCTGTATTTGTATTTGGATTTGTAACTGATCTGGTTTAGCCAAACACATAGTCAGAGACAACATTATCCGCTCTCCTGAGAAACTATTATTTATTTTTCAAATATTTATCAAGTGCTGCTTAAGGAATTATTTAAAAATGGCACCTATAATGCAAAAATGACTTTCATAAAGTGTTTAAACGCAGTTGTGTGCCAGAAGTGATATTATAGCCAGCTGCTAAGGGTAAACATTCATTAATAATATTTATTATAATCAGACTTAATATAAGCAGTCTGCAGAAACACTTTGATTGACATTCTCTCTTTGTACATGTCATCAGAGGGTAAAAGCCCCGCCCATTAGTGACCA